TAATGTTCAGGCAATTCTGGGCCAAGACTTACTTACTACAGATCTTTGAAGATCCTTGATCTTGCCAGTATATACTTTAGGTTTCAAAGAAGAGGGGTAGTGCATGCGTGTAATCCCAGAACATGGGAGGCTGAGGAAGGAAGATTGGCACAAGTTCGAAGCCAGCTTGGGCTACATAGGGAGTTCAAGGCTAGCCTGAACTACATAGGGAGACTCTGTCTCCCAAAAAGCAAAACAAAGCAAAACACCTTAAAAAACAAAGGAAAGGGTTTCATATACTGCATTTTATAAATTTATTTGCTCAAAGGACTCATTTTTCATGGAAGGTTCACTGACATTTTATGGGAGGGGGGAAAGGATGGGAAACATCAGTCCATACTTCTTGTAGGACTGTCCCATTCACAGAGAAAAATTCTCTAGCTGGCTTGGATGGTGTAGGTATTGACTTTGTGTGTGTCTTAGGCTCACACATTGAGTCTACAGTACCATAAGTAATGTACAAAGTAAGTTGAAGGGCTTGTGTTCAGATGGTACAGAGATGAGGAAGACATGGCTCCAACTTCAAAGTAAACAGATCTGCACTTGCTTTTTGCCTTTGGGTGTTGAGCTTTGATTGGAAGGTAAGGGATATCAAGAAAAATAAAACAAAACAACAACAACAAAAAAGAAAAATAAAACAAAAAAAGCTGAAATCTAACATGAAGATGTCACCTTAGTAATACATAGCACAAATCAGGAGGTTCTTAGTCTGCATAACATTTGCTGTCTGCCAAAGGTACAAGTATAGGTCAGCTTTTCATTACTGAGACAAGATCCTGGCACAACTTGAAAGGACAGGATTGTTTGGCTCAGGTTTGAGAGGGTTCAGTCCATTGACTGGTGGACCATCATGGTGAAAGGGTTTCAAATCCAGAACTCAACTCATGGCATCCAGAAAGCAGAAAGAAGGGGTAGAGCAGGGAGGAAGGGGCTGGGGACCGGAGGAAGGGGCTGGTTAACCCATTGATGAGATCAGTGCCCTCAAAATCCATTCAGTTCTCTAAGAGTCTCCTAATTAATTCAAACTGACTATCACGATTAACTGGCACAGTATCAGCCTATCTTCAGCGTAGCTGCAAAAACCCACCCAAAGTCCATTTCCAAGAAAGTTCTGATGTTGCACACATAAAATCCCCACTCTTACTACACTTATAAGAAATTTCAAAATATTCAATTCCGCTTCTTTGCATAAAGAAGAAGTAGCTTTAGTTAGAGTTTTCTAAGCCATGCCCTTCCAAGATGAAGGGAGTTCTGGAAAGTGAGGTGACAGGTGCCGAGATCACTGTGAACTTCTCTTTGTCACAGCTGTGGGACCCCTCTCGAGGCCTCCTCAGTGCTCGCTCTTTCCTCCAGTTGTAGATGATGAATTTAGCTGTGTCAGAATGTTCCCAAAGTAACTTGAGACACTAGGTCTATTGTCGTCACTAGGTCACCACGACGCACAAAGTAGAAGGTGAATACAATGCAAGTGACTTTCTCACTGGGGTGGTTTGGATGGTTTCCCCTTCCGTGGCAGTACTATTCTCAGTGCAGAGGGAGCAGTCTGAACAAAAGGCAATGAGCACAGTGAGAGTTTGTGGCATTTCGTGCACTGGCTCTCCAGCCACAGTCATTCCCCTCACCTGCTTCTGTTCAAGAAGTCTTCTCTGGAAAAGGGGCTTTCACCCAGGCCAGGAGAAATGGGAAGGGTGGCCTGCAGCTCTCTATACACACTTGTTTGTTTTCAGACTGCTCAAGTGTCTCATTATTTTTGCCAACAGAGAAAACGAATCCTACTGAACTGAAAACTTTTACCTATCTATACTAAGCACTGAGTATTGTGAATAAAAAGCCTTTCTCTAAGAGGCTCATCACAAAGACCTGTGGACCAGATTACAGGAAAGAGAAGCCTCTTCTTTGGTTGCCGTGGTTACGATGACTGTGAAGCAGGGTCATCACTATTACAGTCATCACTTGTAAGAGGCAACACAACATGGACTTCTGAGCTACGTTCCTTTTTCTCTACTCCCACCACCTACTGTCCCACTACTTGCTTCCTGATGGGAAGGAAAAGAAAAAGGACAAACCCTATCAAATAAACATTGGATGATGTGAACTTGAAAATGGCTGGACATCTCCGTTTTCCACAGCTGTCTGCCATCTCTAAGGGCAACTGGAGCGAATTTTCACCAATCCAGCAGCTGCAATTGCTGCAGTTCTACCTTCAGCTCCAGGACATTTTCCTTGACCAAAAACACACTAAGTCATTTCCAAGTCTGAAACATTTAGCAAACAATGACAAAGCAGAGCCACCAGAAACATATACCTGATCTCCGTGACAGATTTGGTGATGATGTACTAGCTGGTACAGTCACTTTGGCTATATTTGTGTATTCATATACAGTAGCATGAGCTGGAACAGAATGAAAACTGTGCCTTATTGGCAGTCGTCTTGAAAGAATGAAGAGATTAATAATCATGCCAGGTGTGGTAATCACAAATTGTTTCAAACCAACTCATAACTGGTGCCAAGTTAAAACGCAGTGTACCCACTAGAATATGGCGTATTGAAGAAATTAAGTACATTTAAAACTTACAAAAAAGGGGAAAATGATTGGAAGAAAGTTTGTACATCAGTAAGGGGTGCGGCTCTCCATCCTTTCATCCGGTCTTGCTCTCCTGCAAAGGTGCTGAGTTACTTTTGTGCGGGGCGCCATATACATGCCATGAAGATGCTACAATTGGGATCATTCAGCAGGTTTAAATCGGTCAGGAATAGGACAACACAGAAGAAGCACTCTTCCCATGGCCAAAGTAAAGCAGACAAACTAGGGAATCTGCCTTCCATGGAGGTTCTACATCAGAGTCAGCCTTATTTCAATTCTCTTCCTTTCCCAGAAGAGAAAGGGACCTTTCTTTTTAAATTTTTTAGAAAAATTTTATGAGTACAATACATGTTTGTGTACAATAATGATCACATTCCTCAGGAGAGTTGGTACATGTGCATAATCCCTCTTAATTCTTTTTTCATCTCCTTTCCCTTCATCTCTTGGTCTCCTTCCCTTTTGCAAAAGATATATATCCTTGTTTCCTACTACCTCTCCTTTATTTTGTTCTTTATTTATATTTTGGGCTTCTCATAGATAAGAAACCATGTGATATTTAAGCTGTGTGTTTGATTTATTTCACTTGCCATTATGTTCTCAAGGTACATCTATTCTAAAAATGACTCTAGTTTATCCAGAAGGGGACCTTTCTGGAAGCTGTCTACCCAACCACACTGAGGGATCATCACTCAGCAAGCAGCCTCCCTACTTCTGCCTACTTCTCCCTACCTCTGGCCTTATCTGAACTGGAGTTCCCAACATTGCAGTGATCTTTAGACTTCACATGTCCCTCTGTGTCTGGCTGGTACCTAGGGAGGCAGTCACATTTTCACACAGATCCCCTTTACCTTTTGTTTGCTACTGTGAGATATAATTAACACTCACACAGGAGAAAAATTAATTAAAGGGGGATCTTTCAAACCTTAGATTCTAAGAATTACCTGATGCAACCCCACCTCACCCAGGCCCACATATATATCCAAAATAAGCCAGGTGAAATTAAGATAAACATTCTCCTTGATCAAGAAAACCTTCCTAGATAGCGGTGGGAGCCAGCTGCTAAGTTCCCTGGCTTGTCTTTGTAGACCAAATAGGTCAAAATGCTCTGGCAGAAAGAAGGCAGATTTGAATGTTACTTATAGCAATAAACTCAATTTTTTATTCATAAATGGGGGATAATACCAGCCATCTCTAAAATTCTTACGTCTCAAGTTGCACTCCTGGGGTCAAACCTTTTGGTAGGTCCCTCACTATCTCCTAGGCCCTCTGCCCACCTTTCACAGCCATGTACTTCAGACTCACAACTCCTTAGTCCAGTTTCACCTCACACCAAGCTCTCATAAAAGGATTCATATGCCAGGCCTTTGAGTGAGTCACGTTTTTAAAAAAATCTATCGTATTGTACCTTCTCATAGTTACTTTTGCCCACCCAAAGATCCTACATCTTCAACTGTTCTAATTATATGAAGCTGTGATGGTTAATTTTGTGACAGCTTGACTAGTCACAGGGGTGCCCAGTTATTTGGTGAAATATTACTTCTGGGCATGTGTAGTAGGATGTGTCCAAACAAGATCAGCACCTGAGTCAGCGGAAAAAGTAAAGCGGATGGCCCTCTCAATCCACTGAAGGCCTAAATAAAACAAAGGGCTGAGGAAAGAGGATCTCCCCTTTTCTGTTGCCTGAAAGCTTGAGATGATACACTGGTCTCCTGTCTCTGAACTGAGTTCTGTCCTTTGGCCTCCCTGGTTCTCAGGCCTTCAGACTTGGACTGAATTACACCACTGGCTTCCCTGGGGTTTCTGCTTGCAGACAGCACATGATAAACCTTTTCAACTTCTGTAACTATGAGCCAATTCTTTATAATTAACCTCTATATAAATACATATTCTGCTGGCTGTGTTTCTCTGGAGACTTCCAACTAATATGCAAGCCCAGATCAAGTACCACCTTTGCAGGGCCAGGCAGTCTACTACAGGCCCCCAGAAAGAATCTTTAGAAATTTCCAAGAGACTATGAATCACAAGACTGCTCAGCTCTGTATCTCTCTGGCCTCATGCTATGATTGCCTAGGTGATCCACACCATCTCCTTATAAGCCTAATTCCCTGAAGGGGAAGAAGTCAGGTGATGACAAATGATGCATTGTGCATCTATCTGTTGAGTACTTAAATGAGTGAGGTAAGCCCCCCCAGCAAGAATCCATAGTACTTTTCGACTATCCAGTCACCTTTACTTTTTACTTTATTATGTCCTGTGGAAAGGTGCCTTGCCTGGCTCAGTCAATACTGGGCCTCTTCACAACAAAATGAAAGTTTTGGAAACAAATCAACAAGATACAAGGAGATGATTAAGCTAACTGTCAGGGTTCATACTTACAGAAGTCTTGTCACTCTGCCACATGTGGGATATCCGGTAGCCCACCAGCTCCCCGTCCTGCTGCTTAATTGGAGGCTGCATCCAGCTGATATTCACATTATTAGCAGATTCATCCAGAAGCACAGTGACATTTAAAGGTGCTATTGTTGGAGCTGCAGATGAAAAAGAAGGAAAAGATGAAGACCCACAAAGAAAAAGCGTGTGTAGACGATTCTTTTCTAGGTTTTCCAGGGTTTGGTTTTCAAATGTTCTATGAAAAGCACAAAAGTGACAATAAGATGAAGACTAGGTGCCACTGTCTTTTCAATGAGGGACCACTGCGATATCACATGAGTTTTCACAAGTGCCTTAGGCCACAGAAGCCTTAAGAGACTTAAGCTGAAAATGTCACAAGGGCCATGTCGGGGAAGGAAGTGAGCGGCACAGTTACTTATGGTATATCTGAAAGGAAAACAAAACTGTTAAAACCGTTTTCTTCCCTGCTGACTCCACAAGCAGTAACCGTGAAGATAAAGTCCACATCCACTAGGGAAATGGCACAAGCCAAAGCTGGGTTCATTAAATCCATCTCACACATTCAGATTTGTTGGGGAATGTGTGGATAAACATGGCCAGCTCAACAGGTCATTCTTTCTGCCTCCTGCTAAACCCTCTCCATGGTGATGTTAAGGGATTTTAAAAAATACAAACACGAGGCAAAAAGGAGTCAAGGACATAAGACAGTTTTCAATACATATTTGAAAACTGAAAAGGAGATGCAGAAGTAATTAATTCAGCAAGCCCATTCTCCCCAGAGAAACACAGAGAGGCTCAGAAGCTGAGGGCCAGGTACGAAAATGGGAACTAAAACTGGGAAGACTACCTGCAAGTCTAATTACAAGGCAGTCGCTCCTTGCAGTCCCTCTACCCCCTTCCCACATACCAGGCAAGGACTACCTCAAATACCCACAGGACACAAGGCAGGGGTTGCTCTGAGTTGAAAAGCAACTGGTCTGAGAGCGTCAGCAGAGCAGAGGCATGGAGAAGGGCCAGACTGAAGAGTGGGGAAATAAGTGAAAATTTGTGATCTGAATGAGGAGGACTCCACTTCATCCTCGTACCCCTGGTCAGGCTCCTAGACTATAACCAGGACAGGAGACAGTAGACATCCCTTCCTGAGGAACAGAGGGATTATGGAGGAAGACAACCAGTTGTCTGGAACAAACCTGTAGGTCACTGCCCAATCGCCAGCCAGTGAAGCTTCTAAGGCCCACCCACATTCATAAAGTGCCAGTCAAATTGCTGGACGTCAGTCTTTGATGGGAGCAGGCAGCAGAAGTCTGGGAAAAAGTCATTTGTGAATGAGCCACACACAGGACAGAAAGCTTGGAGCAGACAGAACCAGTGTAAGGAGGTGGAGAAGACTACAAATAAACCAAAACAATAAACAATATACCTAAAGATAAGAAAAAGAACTGATGACTGAGAACCGGGGGAAAAAAAGTGAAGAAAGAATGCAGAATAAAAATCCAGAGGAAAAACAGCCACTTTGAGAAAAAAAAAATTAAGAAAGTATTTGAAGAGGTCCAACAACTGCTTAATATTAATGTTTGGGAAAAAATAGGAGCAGAACATTTTCAAAGGGAAAAATGTGTAAGGGAAAGTCTCAGGATCGAAGGACTTGGATTTCTGGACAGGGCAACTGAATGCCTGTGTTGATGACCAAAACAGACTCTACATTATAGCTCATTACAGCACCAACATTAAAGAGAAGATATATTTTTAAAAAGCAAAATAAAAAATAGTTTGCAGAAGACTCAAGTATCACAGTTAGAAACAGCAATTCCTAATGCCAAAAAACAATGCAAAAGTACAGATTTTCTTTCTTTCTTTCTTTCTCTCTCTCTCTCTCTCTCTCTCTCTCTCTCTCTCTCTCTTTCTTTTTTTTCTGGTACAGGGATCAAACTCAGGACCTTAGACTTGTAAGGCAGGTGCAGCACCACTGAGCTACATCCCTGGCTCCTGGATTGATTGATTGCAGTACTGGGGATTGAACTCAGGACTGAGCTACATCCTTAGTCCTTTTTAAATTTTTATTTTGAGGCAGGGCAATGCTAAGCCATTAAGTTTCCCAGGCTTGGTCCAAACTTGTGATCCTCCTGCTTCAGCATCCCAGAGTGCTGGGATTATAGGCGTGTGCCACTTCACCCAGCAGTTTTCAATTTTTGAATGAAAATAATTTCTACTTTAAAATTACATATTCAGAAAATTACTAATCTAGTATGAAGGACATTCAAATCTCTAGTCATTATTATTATTACTATTGTTGTTATATTATTATTATCATCATCATTGTTACTATTATTGCTGTTAGCAGCAGCAGAAGTACTGGGGATTGAAGCCAATGCCTTCACAATGAGCTATCTCCACAGTCTTCCTTTCTTTTTTATAATCGGAAGCAAACTAAGGACCTGGCACTTTTGAGGAAGGTGCAGTGCCACTGAGCTAAATACCTGGGCACCCTCCTTTTTTTCTGAGACAGTGTTTTGTTTAAATTGCCCAAGCTGGGGCCGGGGATTTAGCTCAGTGGTTCCACTGCGTGCCTTGCAAGAGCAAGGACCCGAGTTCCATTCCCAATAATAATAATAATAATAATAATAATAATGATGATAAATTGCCCAGGCTGGGTTTTTTTCAGTCCTCCTGTTTCAGCCTCCCAGGGTGCTGGGATTACAGATGTGCAGCACTATGTGCCTAGGCTGGCTGAAACTCCTGGGCTCAAGTGGGTTCACTGTTGCCTCAGCTCCCCCACAGTGCTGGAACTAGAGTCACATGCTACTGAGGCCCAGCTCAGTCTTTATTTTTTGCTACACATTCACTTAGGAAGGCTATTGAGTTGTTCCATGAAAATGAAAAAGTAAACTAAGAAAGCAAATGCTCAGGTGAAGGAGACAGAGTCACTAGGATGACTTTAAAAGAAGACCAGAAAATACCCCCCTCCCAAAGTAAAGGTAACAATATCCAGACCTCAGAAATAGTGCCTGTTCATGTCAGACTGGAAAGTCTTCTGATTCAAGACACTGGGTAGAATGCATGGAATAATCTGATCTCACCTGTGGGTAAACACTGGCCCTACACTGCTATGGTCCTGCCTAACAAAATTTAAAAGCCATGCCCAAAGGTTAAGCTGCTCACTACTAGCTTAACTGTGTCCCCAAACAAAGCTTACTTATAGGAATACAAGAATATCTAGAATTCAACAATAATGAACTACCATTGCCTGCAATCCAATCAAAGATTACTAGGTAGGAAAAGAAACTGGAACAAACTAGCCCTAGTGGGACTATAAATGGATTATTTGAAATAACACCAGGAATAAAATGGGTCTGTTAGAATTAACAAACAAGAACATTAAAACAGTTATTATAGTCATAGTCTATATGGTCCAAAAGTTAAGTAAAGACATGAAATATCTATTAAAAAAAAAAGACAAAATATATAATGTGAGAAATGAAATAAAAAATGGCTAGGATTAATGGCAGACTGGATGCCAAACAACAACAACAACAAAATTACTGAATATGAAAACACAGCAATAGAAACTACCCAAATAAAATTCAGAGAGAAACAAAGGGCAAATATTAACAAAGCTTCAGTGAGATATGGGACAGCTTCATGGTCCAGTATATGTATAATACAAGCTCTTAGAAGAAGTGGAAACAAAAAAATATTTGAGAGCTGGGACTGTAGCTCAGTAGTAGAGCCCTTGCCCGGTATGCTAAAATTTTTCCAAAGCTGATACAAACTACAAACAGAGAGCCCCAAGAAGTTCAAAGCACAAAGTGTATTAAAGTTATGCTAATGTGCATTATCATTAAATCACTAAAATCAGCAAAAAGAGGAGAAAATATATCATATATACAGTGTAAAAAGTTAGTTTGACCACAGATTTTATGTTGAAAATAATGCAATGACAGCAAAAAGATAGCGGAGCAACATTTTTTTTGTTTGTTCGTTTTGTTTTTGTTTTTTTTTTTGAACCGGGGATTGAACTTGGGTCCTTTCACTTGCAAGGCAGGCCACCGAACCGCTGAGCTAATTCCCTGGCCCAGCGAAGCAACATTTTTAATGTACTGAAAGGAAACAAACTGCGAGCTTAGAATTCTATTATCTAGTAAAAATATCTTTCAAAAATGAAGGCCAGGTAAGAATGTAGCTCAGTGGTAGGGTATGCCCACACACAGCACGGACAAAGAAAGGCCTTGGGATCAATCCCAAGCACAACTGGAAAAATAAAATAAAATAAAATAAATCTTTAGTTTAAGGAAAAATAAATATTTTTTCCTCAGACATACAGAAGCTGAATTTCCTGCCAGCAGATCCACTCTTCAAGAAATGATAAAGAGTTTTCTTCCTGGAGAAGTAAAACATTACCAAGCAAAATATGGGTCTATACCCAAAATTGTAGACCATCAAAAATAGGAGTCACATGTGTAAATATATGTTTACCTTTATTATATAAATCTCTCAAAACGATTATTGGCTGAACAAAAGTAATAACATGTCTTTATAACATACTTAAAATGTATGACAACAATTGCAAAAATATTGGAAGAAGGAAAATAGAACTATACTATTTTAAGGCTCCTATGCATGAAATGGTATAAATCACTTGTAGGTAAACTGTGACAAGTTAAACATACACACTATAAAACCTAAAGAAACTACGAAAGAACAGAAAAGGTTATTACTAATAAGCTAACGAGGGAGATAAAACAGGATCAGATAAATATTTGGCTAAGCCAAAAGGAAAATAGGGGGAGATATTACAGATAGAACAAATAGAAATTCTGACAGACATAAATCTACCCATTTGAATGATAACATCACATTTTAATGGATCAAATACCCCGACTTAAGGGTAAATGTAAATGGACTAAAAAGCAATGTGGGGGCTGGGGTGTAGCCCAGTGGGAGAGCGTGTGCTTAGGATATGTGAGGCCCTGGGTTCAATCCCCAGTGGATTCCCCCAAAGTAATGTATATTTTTTATATAACAAAATATATGCCACTCACACAAAATACACATTGACAGAACAAGTTGACAAAAAAGTCAATAAGAATTCAGATATGAAAAGTCTGTCAGTTAACTTGAGCTAGTCAGTATTTATAGAACATTCCACTCCAATAAGAACAATATGGATACCAAGATGGCCATAAAGTACGTTTAAAAGGAGTCAAGTCATACAAATTATGTTCTCTGGCCTCAACTGAACTAAATTGGAAAGCAACATTACAATTATCTCTGGAAAAATCCACAATATTTAGAAATTAAGTTATATTTCTAAATAAAGTCAAAGAATAAGTCAAAACATATTTTCTAGAAAATATTCTGGTTGCTTTTTTTTGTGGTGGGGGGGAGTACCGGGAATCGAACTTGGGCCCTTGTGCTTACGAGCTGGGCGGTAGAACCACTGAGCCAAATTCCAGCCCATTAGAAAACATTCTGAATTGAATAAAAATGGAGCCACAGCATATCAAAATTGTTTTCAAAGGCTTTTCTTCTTTATTTGAAGAGAGAAGATATTTTAACAATTGTGGCATTAGGACTGGTACAAGAATCAAGCCCTCAAAAAAATTTTTTTTTGAGGGAACTGGGGATGGAATCTAGGGCCTTGCACATACTGGCCAAATGCTCTATCACAGAGCTGCTTTCCCAGATTTTAAACCATCAGAATTTCTGATCTGACCTGGCCCTCTATCTGCATAAAGACTGGAGTGCTGAGTATAGTAAGGGAAGGCGAGAGTCTGTGTGAGGACTGGGGATGATAGGAACGATGCGATCCGAGGTTAACAGAGCTACAAGAGTCAGTACAACATTCACAGACGGAAACAATCTCGGAGATTATCTTTAACGACATAAAATTGGCTTAGAGCAAGATGGGCAAGATTTGTGCCTATAGCATAAGGTGCTGTGAGGATCTGACAAGAGCACGTGTAAAGCATCTGTCATCTCTGGCACAGACTGGCTGCTTGGCAAACCTTAGCCAACCTCAGATCATTTGTTTTCTTGAGTTTGACGCTATGAGTAATAATTTTTGTTTCTTATTCTATTTTAATTAAAAATACTGGTTTAAAAAATGTGCTACTCTCTTCCTATGTAAAAGAAACACTTAGTACATATGTTTGTTCACTAAGCCCTATAAAATACAGAAGGAAATATCTTCTTTTCCATTCGATTGGCCACCTCAATAAAATGCACTTCCAGAAACAGAGTTCAAAGAAAGCAAAGGGCACACACTCAAAATCAGGCTGCTGGAAAAGGTCTGTTTAATCTTGTGTCATCGGGGGAAATACTCATTGCGAGTCTTAGGAATTACCTCCCTCGGTCGTGCTGGCCAGAATCCATGGGCTTACTGAGGACCAGCCAATTTCGTTCTTGCAGGACACACCAATGCTGTAATTAGCCAGGGCTTGCAGCTGCTGGATTTGATACAGATGTGGTGAAGCCGAGGTGTTAAAAATCATGACTGAGCCATTACTCAGAGGATCAACTTCCTTGACCTGAATGAAGAGCAGACACGTGGAGACATTAGTAAGGTGGCGGGAATGTTAGACTTGGGCACACATGCACTTGCCCCATGTGGGCTTCCCCCGCTCTGCAGGAAGGACCTGCTTCCTCTCAGGCCACACACATCTTCCCACCAGCACGACTGAGTGTTACTCATGCTGGGGACCTCACGAAATGCCCAGAATAATGATTCTCACTGTGGCAGGTGGCGAAGTTGGTAATTAGCATGACCATAACATAATGATTAGAAGTCACACTGTATTAGAAAAGAAAATAGCCCCTCCTCTTTTGGACCCACCTCAATTATTGATTTCTGCTTTTAGCTGCTTCATATAATATGCAACATAAGCAATAGATATTATTGTCTGTGGCTGTGCCAGCCTAAAATATTTACCATGTGGCCTTTTAAAGACAATACTTCCCAATCCTGCTTTGGAAGATAGATTTCTTGTTTTAGTTTTTTTTTTTTTTTT